TGTACAGCACGTGCTTCGAGACCGTGTAACCTTGCGTTGCCATATCCCGGCATCTACTGCCTCAATCACCACCTGCAAAAACATCTTATTCAACCCAAGAAATCGAAAGACATACAAACGATAATTTCATTGTAAATACAGAGAGGTATAGTGTTGGAAAGTGGCAAAGCATGTTAACGGTACTCGAAGTCGCAGGATCGATGGACGCTCGCTCTGGCTAACATGCCAGTTCAGTAAACTATTCTTCTCCTCACAACTAGTACCCTGATATTCACCATTTTAAAGCCTGAATAGAACTCTTGGATGGCATTGTCTGAGATTAATAGCGGAACAAATGTTCTAACCATAGTAAGTGCTCGTAACTGAGTTTCCTAGACTCTGCGAATGACGTCTCCTACTTTGCTATCAACGTCTCATATTATTGCAGACACATGCGAAGCTGTGGATGTTAACTAAGGTTTGATACTGTTCTTGCTGTAGTGCTTCCTGAATAACGTGTACAGGCTCTATCGTATATGGAGTATTCTGTATATGTGGATTTGCTGGTGAGATCTGGGAAGAATAAGTCAAATATTCTGGTGCCTGAAAATTACAAGAGCTCTTCGTTTTGATACTTGTATCCGCTGGAAATTGCCATCTCATAAGCATAAAGATTAAACAGAAGCTAGATCCACAGGGAGGCTCTTCTCCTAATGCTCTCTTGCTTAAATATACGCTGACGCCACAATAGAAAAAAAAATTTCATTTTTCTTTTTATATCCTCGGCGATATATAGATCTGGAATCCATGGAACATCGATTTCTAGAATCTTTCCGAGTCCGGTGGACTGTATGCATTTACCACGTCAGGACTCGTATGTCACTTAGATCAACGACTCGGGATTAGGACTGTGACTGCCGCAGATAATAGGTTGTGGGAAAGCAGGTTGCATTGAGAGCTGGAGTCTTCATGCAGATGATCATGTGACGAAGCGTACCTCGGTTTGCACTGGCGAGGACTTTGCCCTAATGGTGACTAGCTTGGATCTAGTAGCTGCATGAAGTGACCTCCATGGAAACCGACTGGGGATCATGGAAAGGCTACCCGCCTTAGCGCAATAGTAAGCTGCATAATTTTGCACCAGGACTTTCTAAATATCTGACAGCCACTCATTGATCGGCTAGCGCTACTACTCTGTCCCAGTAAACACCTGGTGATCTAGATCTCCAGGGTCTAGGTCATTCTACAGCAGGGGTTCGCAGGTGTCGCAATGTTGCCCAATGGTAGTGACGGTAGATATTACGGACAGCTATGTGGGCATTAGTAGCTCGCTGAAGGATCAGTCTGTTCAGCTGGCGTACCCGAAGCCCCCCTCCTTATAACAGGTGGCATTTTCCCACAAGGGAAGAAAAGTACTCTGAAGGGTTTCCATCGCGAGTGTGCTAAAATTTCACAGTGAGCCAACTTTGATCCTTTGCAATTGAGGCCAGCATTTTGGATATCTATACCTAGGCAAAACAAACACTTGAAACCATGAGAGCGGTCGTTTACACTGGAAAGGACAGCATCTCAGTCGAGGAACGTCCAAAACCATCTCTCCTAGAGCCCACTGACGCCATCGTCAAAGTCCAACACACCACCATCTGCGGAACAGACCTACATATTCTACAAGGCCACGTTCAGACATGCACACCCGGACGTATCCTCGGCCACGAAGGCGTTGGGATAATTGAATCCTTGGGTACCGGTGTCACACGCTTTTCTGTCGGACAACCCGTGGTGATCTCGTGCATCACCTCGTGTGGAACCTGCAATTTCTGCCGCAAAAAAATGCCCTCCCAGTGTACCTCTGGCGGCTGGATTCTGGGCAACACCATCGACGGTACTCAGGCAGAGTACGTACGAATCCCCCACGCGTCGTTCTCGCTACATGCGCTCCCGAACGGCCTCGATCCCAAAGTTGCCGTAACTTTGTCCGACGTTCTTCCTACTGCATATGAATGTGGCATTCTTAACGGCCAGATCCAGCCCGGGTCAACCGTTGCAATCATCGGGACGGGCCCAATCGGGCTGATGGCGCTTCAGATGGCGCGGAATCTATTCGGACCATCCATGACCGCCGTAGTCGGCAGGGGGCGACCCAGACTCGCCACAGCGAAGGAGATGGGCGCAGACCACGCAATAAGTGTGCTCGGGGGGCAGGCGGATGCCGTCTCCTCTGCGCTCGCAGTGACGAACAATCAGGGATTCGACGTGGTGATCGAAGCAGTGGGGACTACTGACTCATTTGAGCTCGCTCAGTCATTAGTCGGTCCCGGCGGGACGATAGCCAGTTTGGGGGTGTTTGGGACACCCTGCGCTCTGCATTTGGAGGACCTCTGGCATCGCAATATCTGTATGTCTAACTTTTATCTGCTATGGCTTGGGCTTTACTGAACTATGGAACAGGTATCAGAACTCGACTGGTCGATGCATGCACTACCCCCGATCTACTGAAGCTTGTCGAGTCGGGCAAGATTAGCCCTCACTTCCTGGTTTCGCACAGTATGCTGGCCGTTATATCTATCCTGGGTGGTTCTAAAGCTGACGCGTGCCACAGATTTCTCGTTTGATCAGATATACAAGGCCTATGAGACGTTCCAGGTACCTTCCAAGTCTGGATCCCTCAAGGTGGTCGTCAGCATCTCTGAACTGCAGGACACCAATCCAAGGCTGTAGTCTCTCAGGCCCAGTGTATCCGCTGGATTGATCTGAGCGCCTAAATATGGAGTCGTTCGCAGTTATACAATCTTGGCTTTTTGTAAGCAAAAGTCCGTCTCTATCTGAGAGATTGGATATTCTGTATGGACGTGTTGCAGGTTCGAATCTTTTTGACTGCTCCACCGACTTAGTCCACGATAGGTAGACCCTGACTCCACTGACAGCGAAGGGAATACACTATTTGCTATTACCATAACAAAGTATCAATCTATCAAGTACAACACGCGCCCGTAAAAAAAAGGAACTTGTAGAAGGCAAGGATAAGGAGTTATAGATATGCTAAAAGACCACGTTGTTGCTTCCGTGACTCTGCAATTAGCAGCATATCAGACTTGCCAAATAAGTCCTTGCTGAAGTTAACAATGGAAGCGTAAGGAAGGCACGTACAGACACACTCAGAAACTGCTATAGTTGAAGCCCCCAATAAAATAAAAACAAAGAACTCTCAAGCAAGATCCTCTTGCTTAGCTAGAAAGCAGTTCCGGGCCTATACTATTATCCCTTAAGACTACAGAAGTCTTAGTAGTACACCGGCCCGTAACAGAGCTGCCTGCCAAGTTACCGAATCTAATCATTAGATTGTGTAAAGAAAGAAGTATATCAGATAGTTAACACTTATCTCCCCAAGTACGGAATATAGCTACCAATGATATTACCGATACACAACTGTCTTAACAAATCCCGGAAATAATACTACGAAATAGAGAGACAAGTAGCCGAAAAATATCGCGGTTCGATGTAATGAACGACCTCGAGTTGCTATCTTTAATCTACAATTTGGTGGTTAAAGTTCTTCCCATCTGTATATTCCATCCATGTCATCGTCAAACCTTTTCCCCTCACTGCAGCTGACCAGACTCGATAATCTGAACTCTGGCACGGGGAGCGCCCGAGGGGGTTCCCAGGGACTCAATCATCTTAACGCGGTCCATGCCCTGGATAACACGTCCAAAGACAACGTGGGCACCGTCGAGCCAATCGGTGACAACGGTGGTGATGAAGAATTGGGAGCCATTGCTAGCTTCCACATGAGCTACCAACAACAACAAGATAAGGGTTCGATCGAACTTACGTGCCGGGGCCAGCGTTGGCCATAGAGAGAAGACCGGGGACTTCGTGCTTCAAGGCAAAGTTTTCGTCGGGGAATGTTTCGCCGTAGATGGATCGACCGCCGGTGCCCTAGAGATGTTAGATGAAGATCAGATGGAGATGGATTCTGCTTACGTCTCCCCGTGTGAAATCACCGCCCTGCAGCATAAATTCAGGAATCACGCGGTGGAACGAGCTTCCCTTGTATCCGAATCCCCTCTCACCGGTGCAAAGGGCGCGGAAGTTCTCAGCAGTCCGGGGGACGATATCGGAGAAGAGCTCGAAAACGATGCGGCCCTGGGGGGCTACGGTGATAGTGCATCAGCAAAAGTCAGCCGATGGGCAGTTCATGATTCTTACTGCCGTTGACGGCGACGTCGAAGAAGACAACAGGGCGAGACATGGTGGTGTTGGTGAGTGAATGAGTGATAAAATTCGATGCAGGATCTACTTATCGCAATCGATTTTATACACAATATGCTCGGGGTGCGGGGTAGTTCCTACTGTGTCTGAGATAACGTGACCGGCTGTGATTTCGCGTAGTTAGTTAGCCCTACCCGAATTCTTGCTGCATGTACCTTCCCAACTTCTTGCCTTGACTAGTTCATAGCCTTTGCAAAGCCGCTTTAATGCAGCCTTGTTAGGTGGGTCAGGGCTCTTTGTACGAGCTCTAAGCAGCTTCTTCAGTGTAGTTTCTTGCCTTTGTAATTGCCTTAGATTATGAGGCGTTTTAGGTATTGCCTGAAGTTTGATATTAGGCCAAGAAAGTACGCGCTCAGGATTTAAAGGACTAAGGCCTGTAGCTGAGAGTCCTCTGCAGATATTACTAGTAGTATATAGCCGCTGCAGCCAACGTAGGCCTATCTCATCGGTAGTCTAGCCATTTACACTCATTTCATTCCTAGTTCAGCTTTATCGTACATGGTCTCATCTCATCAGCATCTCTATAACCCAAGATAAAACACTTCTCTTTAATACAAACACCAGAAAATAGACACCGCTACTATATATCAACAGACCCGGGACTGTGTTCCATAGATTCAGCCAGATATGGCCTCATAAGCGCCAGCGCTTGCCCAAAGAACGTTCCGTTCCGTTTAAAACACTCATTCCACATATCGCCTGTACTGAGTTAGTGGGCCGCTCCGTCCCATAGAGATATCAGTTCGTACCTCTCGCCTCTGTGCAAAATCGCTGTAGAACCCCAACCATAGGTCGCGGGAACGACAGTCTTCAGCGCCTGAAGCCGGATCTTTGTGACAAACAGGTTGGTTTTCTTGTATTATGGATTCTGGGGTGCGGATCCAGGGCTAATCGTGTGTTAGAGGTCAACAGAGTATACCCGGAGGAGAATCTAGGTATTCTGCTACTTGCCTTGGACACAGGCCAGTCTGAAAAATGAAGGAACTTTGCCTCCATAAAGACCTGCTCGGGATCCCACACTTCGATATCGTTGCCCAGGTATGCAGAATGGTGATTCGAGCGGAACTCCCCTGTCAACAGGCCGTATGGTCGGTGGGGCAGTACAAGGGCGCTGTCGCGGTATAGATGATTGAGGATTTCCATATCGTACTCGGAGCCGCTCGCTGTGTCCATCGCATTCATGACCCGGTTGAAGTCGAACTCGGACGGCTGGACCAACATTATATAAGAGCCTAATACGCGGTCGTCGAAGTTGCCCCAATAAGCACGCGGCATGGCAACGGGACATGGGGGCAGAAGAAATAGCTCATCCATGGGCTGCGGAGGGGGCTCTGAGTTAGTCTCTCTCTCCTAGGAGTCTACCCACTGGGATGGAGATGGATACCTGTAGGACTGGAAAGACTATGCATTAGGATATACCTTCGTCAGTATGCCGACTCTGGACGGTGATGGGTATGAGCTGTACGTCATACTGGTCCCGCGCCTTGAGGAGTAGTTTGCCTTCCGTAGTATCGTTGTCCAGTTTGAAGTTGGATGGAAACATCATCAGTCGGTCCGCTTTGCTGTTCATGCGCGACAGGGCCTCGAAAATCATGATTGAGTTACAGAGATAGTCGGTGTTCGTCACATATTGTACGTAGGCATAGCGTGACCAGTCAACATCACTTGCTGGCCAGCTTAGAGAAGACGGGAAAGAAGAGGGAATCTTAGGTAAGGAGATATCTCGCAAAGTGCCATTGGGAAGCTTTAGTAGGCTGGCGAGAAAGAACATCATGAAGATAACGATCACCGAGGAACGGCCGGCCCGGGAGGCAAACAGCCTCATGGCTGTGATCTGAATGTCAGAACCCATTGGGCAAATCAAAGATACAATCTGCTGCTTTTGTGGCAGTCATACATATGAGGCCCCTTCTAGAATGGGGGACTGGGCGGATAGCAGATTGAATGATAGACATTGACAGCTAAGCTGACAGAGGCCAGATATAGATGTATCAATCCATGACTTGCTTTAGTATGGGCTACAAGATTTATTTAATCCTCCTAGGTCTGTGGTTAATTATAGACCTTTGGCAAATACGCTTTCGTGGAGACAAAGAATGAAGTGAGAGAACAGAGTTTTCATCTACGCCCCGACGATACGAGATCTCCACAGGTTTGACTTCGCCTATCGGAACCATAGTAGTACCTGGCTCTAGGTAGTGGGATCCACGGGTTGTTCACTGTCAATAGGCGTCCAGCGCGACAGTACATGAGACAACCGCGTGTGGTTCTAGGAGATGGCTGATCGGCAGATATCCAAATGTCTCGGCATTTCAATTCTCTCCCACAGTGGAGTTTTAGATGCTTTTACCTTCATTCAGTTTTTTTAAGGGTCGTGTTCATTCGTCTATAGTGCTGGTTGATGGTGCCATCACGGACTAGGTACGGCTTTTGCCGCCATTTAACTGCGCAACCCACTAAAGAATGAGATGGAAGGGCAAAACCAGGCTAAGCTCCAGAGATGCCTTATTATGATCTCGTCCTAATGACTGATTTTCGAACTGAAGAATGTTCCAAAGTCACCGTCAGGTGATGGAAATGGGGTGTTATTGGCTAGTTAGTGGGCGCCATTTAGTCAGATATGGCAGAGAAGTACCTCCCTTGAAATTGTTTTGAGACATAGTGAAACCATATGGATGAAATATCATGAATCAACAAGTCCCTATGCGCAGTAGAAACCCCCAGCCATATCGAAACAGTCGTTTCTACTTCTTGGTTCCTTCTCAGTATTCTTACTCATTTTAAGCCACGTCTTTTCTCCGGAATGCTCTGTAAAGTATTTTCAACCTCATACTCGCCTATGAATAATGTTAACTCGTGTTTTACCCCCCACTACTAGCCATTGCATGATGAAGCATCATATTGCCCATCTCTTCCTCCTTCTCTCGAGTAGTCCTGGGTGCATCGCCGCGGGTCCCTTGTCCATCCCGTGGTAGGACAAATCGTACGGGCCGGATGGGCCATGGCGTGCAGTTACCATCGCTCTAGGTTCGCCCCAGCAAGCAATCGACTTGTATCCCGGGGGCAGTTGGGGTACTGGAATCCTCCTTTCTACGATCTGTCGGAACGCTTCCCTCTCATCCATTTGCTATGCCGATCGAGCGGGAGGGATATTCAACAGCGATCTCTCAAGCAGCTGGGACAATACATCCATTCAGTTCTCTCTTATGAACACCGACAGGATAATCCAACCTATGGGCGTTGCCAATGAGGTACCCCTTTATGGGAAGGCAGTGCGTGCATTCGACGAGCTCAACATTGCGGACTTTTCAATACCGGATGTCACGCTGAACGCCTTCTCCGATGTCTACCAGGTATACCCAGGGGGTAAAGCCTACCAAGTCGAAATGGGAGTGCTCTCGCTCGGATGTTCTGACATGAAGCAAAGCTTCACGGGAAATCGCACCATCGAGACGACATTCATCCCTAGTTATCTCTATGGGTATGGTGCCATCCCTTCCTATTCTTACGGCATGCACATTGGCTCCGTACCCTGGGGATACCAGGGTCGCTAGTGCCGGGCGGCTCTGACCAAAACCGGGTGTTGGGTGATGTTTCGGCGCAACCGTACTCGAGTGGCAACCTCCCAATTGATCTGCTCGATGTCAAGATCGGCGTCATCAGTGGTGGCTCGCCCTGGGCATACACAGATAAAACCGGTCTCCTCGGCCACGGAAACGCTTCCATTAACTACGGCGTCACCGTTTTTGCGAGCGGCGCCGACCCCTACATATACCTCCCACACAGCACATGCGAGGCCATCGCGGCCGAGCTCCCTGTTACCCACCATCCCGATTACGGCCTTTACTTCTGGAACACCGAGGACAAGCGCTACTCCGAGATTGTCAGCGCGCCAACATATCTGGGGTTTACGTTCAGCAAGAAATCGCTCAATAATGCAAATATCACCATCAATATACCATTTTCGTTGCTAAACCTGACGTTGGATGCGCCTCTCGTCGACAAACCTACACCATATTTCCCCTGCATGGGCACAAATGGGAACTACGTGCTTGGCCGAGCATTTATGCAGGCTGCTTTTGTCGGCGTCAACTGGGGGCCTCATCAGGGCAGCTGGTTCCTGGCGCAGGCTCCTGGCCCCAACATCCCCGGCACCACGACAGTGACAACGATCAATCCTTCCGATAACACGGTAAAGAGCAGTTCTAGCGACCGGGAAAGCAGCTGGAAGGGGGTGTGGAAGGAGCTACCTGCGACCTCGGTCTCGAACTTGAGCACGCCGACCCCGTCGGAAGACAGCGGTGGATTGTCTACGGGAGCCAAAACCGGCATCGCCATCGCGATGGCGGTGGCAGCAACAGTTGTGGCCGTTTTTGCTGTGTGGTGGTGGCTGCAGGGCCGTCGACAACCGATGCTGGCAGCTGTGCCAAAGCAGGAAAGAAATCAGGAGCAACCGGTGTATGAGTTGGATAACACGGAGAGGACGCAGGTTTATGAGTTGTCTTAGCTTGGCAGTGATGCTTCAGTTTCTTGTGTTGGATAGACTTATTAATTGTACAACACCTGTAATATATGCTAGTAGAGTATCCTGGGTCTTATTACTGTCCTATCCCACTTCCATACAGAAACTCTTCTTTCCAAAAGACTGCTTTTAATAGTATGACTTTGTACCTGCACGCTTGAGCTCCCTCCATACAATGTTCAATACATGCTAAACCACAGCACAAAAAGAGCCAGCCTCTGTTAAGGTTAGACTGGCCACATGTGGCCTACCATGTGGCCTACGCTAATGGGGAAGAGGGCCGCACAAATTGGGACCAACAAGTCCATAATTTTAAGAAAGGACTATGTAAGCGGTGACCTGACACGGTTATGACGGTGAGGTCAATGTTCTCAGCCGTCGGGATAATGTTGTGGTCTTGGATAGCGGACCTGAGGCTAATCTCGCCTAATTTCATCTGTTTAAGCTACACGATAATTGATTCTAGACTATTTGGAAGCATCCCTTGTACGACATAGGCAAACGGATGATGCCAGCTGAATACAGCTGACTGACCTTCCTAAGAAGCTCTAGTGCTAAGCCTCTGTTTCAGACCTGATTTAAATCCACGTAATACCCTAACGCCTTATTAGTTCACTTCTCACTGTTTGATGATGTCAATAAACCACACACACGCCCAACTGCTGCAAATCATGCTAATGCTTGGGGAGAGAAATTTGAAGAGCCCTTGAAAAGCCTAACTCCCTCCAGAACTAGCTATATCAGAATCCTATGTTTCACGGTAGAAAGTAAAGTTAATAGAAGATCTCCTGGCGATGGAGGGATAGCATAGTGAAGGTGAGACAAGCCGCAATGCCGTGGTCCAAAACACAAGGCTGTGCATACCCAAGAAGATCCGGTCTAGGCTTAGCAGCTAGAGCGCGTAGAATGGGGTAACTGCAAGAGACCTTAAGATGATAGGATCGTGGGACTAAAGCCTAAGTATCACCTGTGTGACCATCACAACGCCGACAAGCAAACCGGGGAAGATGAGGCCCGTTCCGAACATTACTGACCAACCCTGCTATAACGTTACTCCATATAGTATTAGTGTCCACTTTAGATAAGAAGTTGGCCAGAGTGTGATTTAAAGTTGGTCATGCTACATCATTAAGCTTTATAGGGCAATCTGTACCTATTCTGACGTCTACTCACTTGTGCCCTCCAGCTACGAAAGTACAGTTTCCCCCAGACTTTACCACATCTACCAGTCTTCAGCGTCAATCTACTGAGTTGACTGAAATTCAGAAATAGATATTTGTCATTAAAACATATCATTATGCCCTGTAGCACTGGCTATCAACTACCCCATGTGCGGATGACGCCTCAAGACGTATACGGAGTGGTAAACTATAGTAACTACTTGTCACCAGCTGACCGGAAGTTGGCCAGTCCGATGATGACGAGTATAATCTCACCTCTGCTGTATGCGAAGCCCTTCTTGATGTCATTCACAGTACCTGCACTACACAACAATCACATTGCGCAGTTCTAAGATCGCGGTCATACCTTGATATTCCGTGAACTGTTCATTATGTTTAAAGCTGTACGTACGGAATGCTAATACACCACCAAGGACGCAAAATAATCCTACACGCCGGATCGTTGACCACCATCTAGTTCGTAAACAAACCCGTCATTCCCTCGTAACTCACTCCGCGTATTGCTACGCGCATCCAACTCCCGCCGCGGCTCTTCAGCTGGCAGTTCGCCCCCCACGCGGCTTATGGCCGGTCTATTCTCAAACCACTTTTCTCCTTGTGGTTGCTTCTGATAATCTCGGCGTCGCTTTCTTAGAATGAAGAAGACTATTGCCAATGTGATAGCCGCGCCAGCAACGCCACCCACCACACCACCTATTATCGCCCCGGTGTGGGTTGATGAACCGTCAGTTTCGCTTGATGGGCCAGGCTGGGTATCCGTTGAGTTGGTGGTAGCTTTCTGGACAAAAAGTGATTTCAAAGCTGGATCAGCCCACGCTGACGGATAGGGCGAGGACTTGATGTCATCGGCGGTTGCAGAGGGGACTGAATAAGCCGATAGCCCGGGCTGTGGATGGGTGAGCTTGTATCTTAAATGATTAAGAGAAGGGCAGATGATCATACGTCAAATTGGGTCCGGATAACCTCAGATTGAGCGTCATATATGAAGGCAGGCGTATCGTAGCATCCTGCATCGGCGTCGTCTGCCCACGCAAGCCGGCCTCCTACACCGAATATTTGCCGTCCGTATGCTTGACAGACATGGGTCATACGAGGCTTGTTTAGAGGCCCGGCTTGAAACCATTTGAAAGATGGGATCGATAGATAGGAACTGATAAGTTAGTGTTAGGCTGAATTATAACATATAGAATGATTGAAACATACACATCCGTAAGCGACTTCTTGGACTCGTAGTCCGCTCCTCCAATCACATATATTTGGTACGACGACGTCGAGAGATCTTGCTCGACAACTGCGCAAAATTGGGTTCGTGACGCCACGCTGCCGGATGTGGTTTGATTGTACCACTTGTTTCCTGCGATGTCATAGACCCACGCATGATTCCATGGGTTCTGGTATTGTGCTTTAGCAGGGGTTTCTGAGCAACGATACCATCCAAACACTCACTGGAGTCAGAGTTGCATTGATACCGTTCTGGATGGACGGAACCTCGCCCCCCACAAACACTAGGATCCCTTTCTCTCCAACCGGAAGATATACCAGTGCGCCCTGCTGTACAGGGGTAAATGGAGCATCAAACTGTGTAAAGGTCCCAGTTGTTGTGTTGAATTGAATCATCCCCGTCGCATAGTCTACCGTTTTATCGGTGATCGCGGGCGTCGTATCGCTATCTTGATACCCGCCTACCCAATATGCAGCTTGAATTTGGGGCGCATCAACGTACGCTATTGCTTATGTTAATGCGACAATCCAGCCAAGCACGGATAAAGTAACACATTACCCCCTCCTTGTAGTCGCACCGGCTTAATACTCGTCTGCTGCAACTTCCAAGACCCATCTGCAATCGTGTATGTCCATAGTCCCTGGTCAACCGAGGTGTCGTCCACGCCTCGCCCGCCATACGTAAACAGCGTAGTGTTGCCCTTGTCCGACCACATTGCCTGGTCCTTGATTTTTGGGACCGCGCTGTCAACCAAGCTCATCTTATATTTCGCGCCATCATCAGTCGAGAATGAGGAGGATAGGTCAAGCTGTACGAGGTAATTGTCTACTGGATGATTAGCGGGAGCCGCGGGTTTGGCAATCGGGGTAAGAGCGTGTACGCGATGCATTCGTGTCGCTGGGAATGAGGCCGCCGTCGAGGTCTACCATGTACAGGACATCGTTGACAATGTTCGCTGCATCAGTTGGTCACTATACTCTTCAATTGCGCAGGTGATCAAGGCGCGTACCCCCGAATTTGTAACTCCGGCAGAATCCATCAGACAAGTCGCTCAATACCTTAGCTTCGCTTAACGAAAGCAGCAAAACTAGGTGGATAAAAGCCAGGGACATGAGCCATGCCATGGTGATATTGCGGGCCGGTGATCTGAAGTCGCCGTCGCATCAAGGGGCAGAAGTGCGCTTCGGACATGGGGACATAATTATACGAGGGGTTGGCCCCCAATTTGAAAATTAGTCCAGATGCACATTAAATACACTAGCTCTAAATGGTAAACTTGATGCAGTCCAGCATGTTAGCGTCGTGTTTTGATCCAACGAGGACGATCCCTTTACCGCCTGTGCCTTGCAGGGTCCACCCCAAAACAGCCTCGCGTGTCTTGCACTGGAGTGGCCTGTGACTTGACATAAACATTGAGCTTATTTTACCACCGTGAATCAAGTTATATAAACTTGAAAACAAATCTACCTCCGTTAGTGCCTTGTATTTGCGCTGGCCGTGTAGACTCTCGTGGTGTATGCAGTTAGATACTAAGAACATACCGGATCGCTTAGGGTTTCACCATATCAGCTGTCGACAGTCTCCTTCCAAGTGCTCATCGATGTTATCGCACAGCCTAGCTCTACGCAGAGTCAACGAGGTTTTATTTGATAGATTGGAATTTATTTATCCTACATACTCGGGTATGCTTCTTCTTCATGCCATATTCATTAATCGACCCCACCGGCTTAGCGGTCAGCTTTTTGAGTAAATAGACATCTAGTCATACTGACCCATACATGTATTCTACCAACCACCAGGACATCTAATAACTGATATGAAACGAAAGAACTCCTTTCGCCGACTCATCAATAGATCCAATCTACACTAGTAGCATTGTAGAGCCAGCCTGCAAATAGTACATCAAATCATAAATCTAGCTTTACATTTTCGGTGGACAACACAGCTACCATATTCCCCACGTTTGTGATAATGGACTTATTCCCACCACTCAAGCACCAACAGGTCCCTTTATCCTGATTCCCTGTACCCTCGAAGTTATAAGTGCAGCCGACATCGGTTCGACCCTGGAAATTGTTCATGGAATTGCAAAGTGCCAGACAGTCGGCGAATGAGCTCTGCACACTCGAAGATAAATCTTTCTTCGAACTTGAACTGATATCAGCGTCGCAGAAGATATAATAACTAGAACTTCCTGACCCGCCCGAAACATTCCTTACTTCGGTGTTGTTGGCATCGGGACAAGTATAGTTTGTGCTCTTGTCGAAGAGAGCAGTAGATGTTGGTGACGGACCCGAGGTTGATGTGCTGGATACCGAGTATGTCGACGACGAGGATGACGGCGATAACGGCGATGCTGACGGTGTAGATGTAATACCTAAGCTGTTTGTCGCTATAGGAGCCGCTGAGGCAGAATGCGACCCTGAAAGATTAGCACAACCCATCACAAGTTCTTGAACCGACCCTAGACATACTAGTAAGGCCGACTCCCAGTCCAACAGCTAAGGCGATCACGACCGCAACAAGTACTGCCACCGCTACAGCAAGCCAGAAGGTCATCTTGCGTAGGCCACATATCCTGTTTTCGCGTGGCACAGACTCGTTGGCCAGCACAGGCACGATGACATGGTGTGGGTTATTCTGGTTTGGAACGGGTTCTAGCCCCGCTTGAACAACCTCTATGCCATGGATTTGCGCCACTTCTTTGAATGAGTCGGACATGGCTGATGACACCGAAACTCCAGAAGAGAAAAGGAGAAGAAGAAGAAGCTGACAGCAGATGTGTGAAGTTAGCGCTGGCATTCTAGTGGCTGTATTCTGCCTTGCATCATATTGATGTTTGGCGCCTAACATGATGATTAGCGCTGGGTAGCCGTATCCCTGCAAAGGGTTTCATCCAACATACTGGGCTGTTTCTACCCGTAGAAATTTATTCTAGGGTCAAAATAAAACATGGCGTTAATTTAATTCCTTGACAGCGGGCTCAGCAATGTTAAAAATGTGTCTTTTACACAATCTTTCTCCCCAAACACTCTCAGACTTTTTATAGAGAGGCAATGCTGAAGTACTATACCGTGAAGCCTGCAAGGAGGGCTTGATTAGTGTATTCTTAGCCAACACCAAGCGTCATGTAGCGCTAAATCTAGTCTACACATGATCAGCTTACTCTTGGTTCAGCCTTGTAGTGATGCTCCAATGTTTACTATAGCCCGCCAATCGCTTCGTAAATCACGTGACATGACACAAGAAACGCACTGCTCGACAGAAAAGATCCATACGAAAAGCCTGTCAGTGTTAAATGTCAAGCTTTCTCCACTAAGTTTGATCCGCCGATCAGCCGTGAAATCTGTGTGTTGGATCATGACAACAAGGACGAACCTATGGCTGCTCCAGAGCGACCGAAACAGCTAAATAATCGTAGGGAGAAAAAGAAGAGAGAAAAAAAAGGAAAGAAAGATAGACTGGGCGGACCTGTGATCAGTCCCCCTATATCAGGAACTAAATTATGCTAAGGATTCAGATCTAATCGGCCTCGGAAGGTGGTATTTTGTCTCGTAGCGAGGGGTCCAGCCGAGGATGACAGTGATTTAGGGGCAAGGGATCGCCATCATGGGAATCATCTGTGGGTCTCGTTGGCCCTAGCCGAGGGCGCTTAAACGTTGGCTCCCTACCGCATTGGACGATTATATGATAATCCCTGAAAGACCCTTGTCCGCCCATTGCCTTTCTCGACTTTACGCAGTAGTTCAGGAGCTCTGTTTCGGACAAAGCATCTACTCAGCTAAAGTGAGTCGGGTTCGATAATTATAAAAGGCCTTTATGCTAATTGTGGGTGGCCACTTGTCACCTGAACATGTGCGTATAATATGTCCTCGCCAACGCCCGCCTAGTTGAAGCACTCGGGAATACACACTTGGGTGGTAGTTGAAGGGCGAAGTGCCGCTCTTCCCTTCTGTCATTTGATTCCTTTCAAGCTCCAGGTACTCGCTGTTATTGGCCCACTCCTGGTAGGGATGGTTTCCAAGGGCATCACAGAAGTAAATTATGGTTACATAAAAGACAAAGACACCCTAACTACAAGAGTCAGCCACCATCCCATCCTGCGTAATGATAAGCGCTGGCCAAGGCCCCTCAAAGGGGACATGAGCTTAGTGTCCTGTACTAATTCACGCGGCTTATTCCGTGAACTAGACAGACTGCGCTGGGGTTAAAGGAAAGCATTGACAGGAAAAGCAGTCTGTGGGGCGTGAAACCATGGGAGAACAAATCATCGATAAATATTTAACTCGGGGTTCTACGTCTGACCCGGTCCTCTTAATATCACGCCGCGGATAATTGCATTCTTTTCCAAAAGTCCGTTTACTTATAGGCCGCCGCCCATACTTACGGGCTGACGGGCGGCACCCTTTCCTGACATACCAGAAGAAAAAAATGGTCAACCTCGTTAGGCTATCTAAATTAATCAATCGTCCTTTATTACAGGCTACTATTCTGTTTGTAATAATCCTCTTCCTCTTCTGGGCGCTACCGCGCCCGTCATATACGGGAGAGAGCGCAAGTGCGTCCGGGGCGGCCCGCGGCGATCTAGACGCGGTGAAAAATGAGACTCTTGGGGTAGCTATCCCGACGCGCAGCAATATCATCAAGACCAGTAACTGATATTTCTGAACCAGTTTGAGAGGGTCTTCTTCATCAACCTACCGAACAGACCGGACAAGCGCGATTATGTAACACTGGCTTCCTCTATCGTACAGTTTCATCCGGAGCCCATAGACGGGGTGTTTGTGGAGGATATTGACAAAAAGGCATATCCTTCAGTAAGTGCAACTTTCGCTCGGACGCCTCATAGGGCCGCTACTAAGGTCTTACGATTTGTCTTAGAATTGGGACCCTGGCTATCTACCAGGTGAGTTGGGGGGCTGGCGGGCACATATGAATGTCATGCAAAGGTACGAGAACACAAAGAAGATTGTGAAATTCCCTCTCATTCGCGCTAAAAGGACTACTATACTCTAGAATAGTGCAGGACCGGATCTCGACCGCATTTATCCTTGAAGACGACGCGGACTGGGATGTCAACTTGAAGAAACAACTTCAAAGATTTGCATCCGCTTCGCAGTTGGTGCAAGGTGATACCAAACCCTCACATTCACCCTATGGTGATTCCTGGGACCTGCTCTGGATAGGGCACTGTGGGATAAAATTCAGGGCTGGTCCAATCCACGTGACAACTGATGATATCACGGTCGTTCCTATCCCAGAGCTACCCCCGTACTGGCGCGACCCTCCCGTGGGAGCTGGCAATAGCACCCGCTTTGTGGCACAAGCAGAGGAGGGAGTATGTTCTCTTGGATACGCAGTTACCTATTTTGGAGCCCAAAAGATTCTTTCGGCTCTTTCATTGACACCGGCGGGTGGCGGTGCTCAGCTCGACGTGGCACTTAGTCGGTACTGCCAAAAAGGCTGGCTGAGATGTATTGCTCCCTTTCCATCATTAATTGGACTCTGGAAGGCGGCTGGGCCAAAGGCGAGGGGATCGGATATTCACAATGACGATGGTTGGGTTGAAAAGGAGACCTCAGTGGGATCTATATACAGTACTATGTACAACGCTGGCCGCTTGTTGGCTGGTGAACGTACAGTACATGCAGTATCAGACGACGCTCTACCTCATGAAATAGACCCTACACAGTTGGAGCTACCGGAAGGGGCGTTGAAGACGCTTGACAATACCGGAATACATGAGCTTATGGTAGGGGGTGTATGAGAAATTTTCTTAAAGGCTAGTATTTCAATATCATGCTCAGCGCCTATGCTATTTTTTTTTTTTTGCTCTTTCACTCAGTCTAAAATAAGCCTTTACAGGCCTAAGAAACCAGGGAAGCTATATAGCGTATCTGACACATGGCCGATATCCTCTGATACAGGAACAATTTAAGGGGCTTCTCTCGTGTCATTGTGATAGGCTAGGCTGGAAAAGCAATGCCTAGCCTGGCTGTTGCTCGGGCTTACTCAAAGTGTTCTTATTTTCATCGCTCTGGAATCCTTGTATCAGGGTCCCTTGTGACCGAATAGCCATTCGCCATGCTAGTCCTAATCTAAAACAAAGAAAGACAACCTCTGAGGTAGTACTAAGTGCTCATGGAAAGGACACTAATGCAGCTGCGCCATAAATGTGAACCCAAGTCGTCTTTGCAGAGCGTGCTAATAACTACTCTGATGGGCCCGTAGTACCCTAAGGGTTTTCTTTCTCTTTTGATTTCTTTCGAAAGTATACCTCCATTCCCCTCCTCCCACTCGCCTGAGCCACCATGAACAACCGGAGGTCACTCAGTTTGTTTCTGTATATATTCTTAACTATACTACTTTATGGTCCCCAGATAGCATTGGCACAGGGAAATGAAAAAAGCAACCCAAATATATTTGTGAATCCTCCTGCCGCTGACTCGGCTGAGAATCTCATCTGGGTTCTGGGGGAACAGCAACAGATTTCATGGGTGACAACCCTAACTACTTTTAATGTCTCTATGTGGCAGCAGAGGTTATCTCAAAAGGCTGGGGCCAGTATGGGAAACATTTTTTGTACGCATTGATAGTTTTTATCATTGACCTTCTGGGTTGAACCATCTGACTGACAACCAAGCTGAAATTTGAAGCCCAGGTACACAACACCGGGGTGACTAACTTTACCTGGATGGTGCAAACTTACGGTTTCAGCCTCGAAGACTCGCCAATCTTCTTCTTTTGGATAAATGCCGATACCCCCGAAGGATTTACTTCGAATTACTTCACACAACCGAAAAGAAATGGACTACGAGTACGTCGACTTCTTACACAGCGACTTCGACATTGGAACCGAACTCAACAACGCCACCCGTATCCTCATCCACAAACAGCCCGCCACCTCTTCCAACAGGAACCTCCCAAGCGTCGGCATCTGGATCTGGCCTTGATTCCGCCACAAAGATAGCACTTGGTGTTGGCGTTGGCGTTGGCATTCCCGCGGTGTTTCTGCTCGGTGTGCTTACTTGCCTCAAGTATCGCCAGTCTCAATCGACCAAAAGTAAAATACCTATCGTGCCCAGAACATCTGCAGCAATCCCTACAACAAGGCAGGCACTTCCATCTCCCCCGAAAGAAGTAGCTGGAAGCCAGGTTACTGACTGGTGCCCGGAGCTACCCGACCGTCCATACTGACCACCGCTTGACATGTCGGGCTTATTGAATATGATCATGACCCGCGCATAATGTATCCAACCTTGACATCTTCGGGTATTATGTTCCTCAGTCGTGTATACAAGTCTTTTACATCCAAAGTCAATTGAAATGTTCGACAAATACAACCCCCGAGCTAGTAGATTATACTATCATATTCGGTGATACATGGCAATTCACGGTGCCCCATATGGGTGGGCCAAGCAATCGCCAGTGTCCGAAACTTCTGGGCCGATCTGCCAACAATAGTGAAAACGATGTGCAGAAGCAAAGATATCTTGCAGATGGAGTCTTACTAGCACTGCCATATTCTAACTAATTACTGTCCAGAATGGGGACATTGTCGGATTCTCGTCGCCATGGATCAAGCTTCCTTACATAACCCGAGCGAAATCCAGCTTCGCATCCACCACAAGGGGGCCAGAGATCTCTTCCTAACCCAATGATCCCGCTTTCTCGAACCCGACGAATGTTATCGTCCTCATTTTCCATCATGGGACTGTATTTAAGCGACTGTGATTTCATCAGCTGTGAAAAGGAATCAGAAACATCCAGCGTCTTTCAAGTATCCCTGCAAGGGCGACGATGTCTCATGAAGGTGGTATGTATACTCCGAACCCTCGCCACACTACTTTTCGAACCTGTTCTTAACAAACTCAGTATCATACCATAGTGAAGCAGCCATGGCACCCTACATACAGAGAGATTGACCCCTTTCTCTGTGAGAGCGCCGCATATGTTCGTTTGAAAGAGCGAGGGCTGTGTCAGCAAGGGGTTGTCCCTGATTTCTATGGGGTGATCGAGCAAATAGACCCCCTTCAATGGCAACCTCACTTAAATCGTTTCGTGAAGGACAAACTTCCTCCAAACGCTATTGTGCTGGAGTTAATCCCAAATCTCAAGCAAATAGATCTTGCTACCTACACCGAAGACCGTGCTGCCGCCCTTCTGCAAATTATTCATCAAATCCATGACGCTGGAGTTTGCCATGGCGACCCATATCCTCGGAATATGGTAATTCAGCCAGAGACAGGTAGGGTGCTCTGGATAGATTTTGATCGTGCTCAAACTGTTTCCGAGGGTTCTATTACCGACAGACAACGCGACTGGATGGAAGACGATACATTAATGGCCTCTGAGCTACTAGACCTTCTGGTAAGAAACCTGGCCTTCTGCCTTACTCAGCTGACCCGCCTTTAGGCAAAGGATGTTAAGCTTGGAAAGCTTGTTCATGCATGGGGTTATTATTACCATTATTCATGACATTTCTATGGATCACCTTTCGAAGATAGGTGGTGAAATTCTACTTTGTGGGAGATACATAATTTGGAAATCACGTTGGTGGAATGAGATCCATATCAATGAACAATCAAACCAATCCCAGTATAGAGTCTAGTTGGAGGTGTTGACCGATTCCAAGCTTCTGTACGATTACACTTCCCTAGATATTAGTGACTTTCGCATGGCCTAACTTCATTGTAAGTTACCCAATTCGAAGATAGGGAGTGCTGCAGCGTACCCGAGCTCTCGTGTGATTTGTTATTTCGGGACAATGCTGCTTTGTGAGCATATATTAAACTCTCCATACAACAGTTAATAGAAAAACACATCGATCAGTTATAGCAATGATAGTCCCAATATGTTCTACTGTGAATCTGTAAAGTAGAAATGGTTAGCGATGGGGATAACATTATTGAGCAAGATAAACTACACCAATATCTACCCATTGCTATGTCACGGTTTCTTGCAGATCTATAAAGCGACGGAATCAGGTGTCAAATATAACACATCTCGTCTTCACAGATACTTCAATTGTTAGCTGCAATCACATCAAGGGCATATCTTCTTTCACCTGACCTGGCAGGCAGTAGAGGGCGACGCTAAGCGTGTTATCGTATACCAGTTGATGGGCCTCATCGGGCATTTTTACCCGTTACTCAAGCGTGTCTTGTTGAACAAAGTAATGCACTCTTATTTCGGTACATACATTTCAATATTAGCAATCATCCTAAGGTCTACTATACTTACTCGACAAACCAGCTGGTCCTGCTTTAGTTATTGCAATGCATTCTAGACTCATTCTAAACTTTTACTGGTGGTATCAGCCGGTGGAGCATTTTATATATTATCTCTTTCGCTTCCTTTATTTTTCTCTTCCCATTTCAACTCCTCTCTTAACCCTACAACCTGCTCATGTGTTTTATAGACATATATTGGACACAGAATAGTCATATAGTCTAGGATAAGTGGATCTATATAAGTAGATATAATTGGCTACTGGGCTCAACATACGCTGTACTAAACCAAATCGGGAAGCATGCAGAGAAACAATTGACCGATGGTTTTAATGCTGTATGATAGCGTTGCCTTCGATCTTCGACCTCATTCCTATGAATCCGATCTGCCCAGCCGATTCTTTGATTCCACTGGAGAGACACTTATTATTTTTGTTCCAAAGGTGTAAAGATAGGCCTACACGTGATGACGGATGAGAATACTTCATATTCAACATGAGAGAAAAGGGCGCCCAGAAAATCTGCAGCCTTGATATTTCTGTAAGCAATATCGACAAGAAACTAAGAAATTGATACTGAGATAGCATAACATGTGACATGTGCCTGTTAGCGGACTGTGTTCGAGGTAAAGGTCGTGGTTAGGCCTGCCGACCTGTCCTTCCAGCTATGGTCCAAAGATAAGAGAATTGTCAGCGGTAAACACGAACGAATCGCAGTACGATGGATGGCAGCGGAGATATTGGAAGAGTACATGCTTGGATAAGATAATCGAATGTATGTATGATCTTATTAGCGAAGGTTGTTGAGAAAGGAACACCTACAACACACAGGCAAAGCGACGGATATACAACTCATCATTGTAACTTGGTGACCCTAATAAATCACGTGTCAAGTGTACCAAATCTACTCACAAGAAAACTGCGCAGGTTGTGGGCCACCTACATACCAGGGCTGATGGTAAGTTGGCGACGAATGAAGTTATAAGAGTTACTTGAAGGGAAGTTTTCTAAGTCTATTAGAGGATTAGTAGAGTGTTAAGACTTACAAATAGTTAAGAAAACACGGGCCGCTTAAGTGTATTATGAACAGAAGATAAGGTACCACATCACTTTTTTTTAGGGTTTATTGAATGAGAAGCAGCGATATTAGGGTCAGATTAGGGTCAAGAATTAGGGTCAACATTAGAGTTAATGAAAAAAATGGTAAGGGCGAGGATCGAACTCGCGCGACTTACGTCATTGGGACTTAAATCCAACGCCTTAACCACTCGGCCACCTTACCAATGGTGATAATTGAGTCTACATTACGAAATCTCTTTCTCTATCCCTAAATTTATCAGACAATGGGTGAACCGAAGCCTTTCAATACCAGTTCAGGTCGCTGGGAAGGAGGAAAACGGTATAAACCTATACTTAACCAAGGTCTTGCAAGTGGGTATATGATTAAATTTGTAAGAGATTCACGGGTCTGCTAGATTGTGAAAAAGTTAGCTTATATCCTAATAGAGTAGATTAAACCAAAGGACGAAGAGTCATGC